ATTTTACTTATTCTGCCTTTCTGAAAGGTCATCCTCAGCAAGCTCATCAGTAAGATTGGTGGATAAGGAGAATAAACAGCATGGAAGAGTTGAGATTTTCTTTACAACCATATTAGGTTGACCCTGTCACAAATCAGATCAGCCTGGATCTTTATTTTGGGAGAGGTGATGATAATTCCATTTTACATTGGTACAAAGTAAACTCGTTAATATACATCTAAGGGTATTTTTTTTTTCTTTGCTATTCTTTTTTGGTGGTTAGGGGGGAAGAGCCTTATTTAACATTAACATTTCTTAAATTGTTTTCCTTATAATTATTCGGAAATGTAAATTCAATCAAATTGTTTATTTTAAGACTTTGGAATGAGTGGGGGGGGGATCTAGAAAAGCTGTGTTGAGTTGCCTCCAAGCTTGCATCCTCTTGCCTGCTCCTTTGGGATTCTAGGTCCTTGGCAGGCACAATTTTACCGCGAGAGCTGTTCGGTGCCATTCAGGCTCCGTTCCATTTTTCTTCATGAAGCTCCAGTTCGTATTTTACAGCTCCTGCCTGAGAGCCGGTAACATAATGAATTGCCTTGACTCTCGCTTCAATCCACTTTCCTCTCTTAATATGCAGCCCAAAGTTTGCAGCTCGCTGTCAGATGGTAGTGCTAGACTTTCACACTGATCCCAAAGCCTCCGTTGGGGCTGTTTCTTAACACGGAGTTACAAACTTTAAGAAACAGCTCCAGACGGAAATCCACGCCAGGCTTTGAACTCTGCTTCTGGCTTCCGTCAACTGACAGAGTTGCCCTTTTGCTCAAACTCGAAGCTCCAGTTCTCACTCGGGAGAGCTCCACTGGGTGTCTGATGCCTTATTGCTGCGGCGGGAACATGGGGGGGTGGGGGCACAACCCAGTGCCTAACCAAACCCTCACCTAACTCCCTGGGCTTAAAAAATTTTCCGCAAAAGTATTGGGGGAGGAAGGAGGCTTGGAGAGCGAAGCCTGATCTTTTGTTTGCTGAGTTTTATATTTCAGATACTTAGGGGGAGCAAACTGTGAGAGAGGAAGGGCAAACGTTCCCTTAGCAAATCTCCAGGCCTCAATTCCACGTTTTACTGTTGGCTTTGGATTTTAATAGGTTGCTCCCTTGTTCCTGGGCCCAATCCGTGGACATTGTGCAGCAAGGTAAAATGAGAGCACATCCTCTGCCATTTTCAGCCAGTTGGTCCTGGCAACCCTGCCCCCCAACCCCCTTTCCCAGGGCTGCTGCAGTCGCTGGAGTTAAATGCTGCGCGCCTAGAAACTCCACAGGCGCCTCCGGGCCACAGATCCAGTCCATATTTTCCATGTGCTGTGCGGTCGGGGATGGTGATAAGAACTCTCTTGTGAGGGAGAGCAAGCGAGACTTTAGTCCGGTTTCCATGTCAACGATTCAGTCCATATTTGCCATGAGGCTGTTGGTGGCAGAGGCACTTTCGTGAGGGTAGCCCTGTCCTAGTCCTAGTTCTCCAATCTGCGCCGGGATTCCTGAGCCACCTTGGTGTGGGGTTAAATGCCTGGGGCTGTCGGGGAGAAAACTCCACTAAGGGGAGGACCCACTGCCCCGAGCCGGGGTCTCGCAGCTCGGGCCAGCCACGTGCCCGGC